GAACAACTGTGTCAACTCTTGAAACTGTGCCTGCAGTCAACCTACTTCACATATGGGGAGCAATATTATAGGCAGAAACATGGGTGTGCTATGGGGTCTCCAGTTTCTCCTATTGTTGCCAACCTGTACATGGAGGAGGTAGAAAAGAGAGCCTTGATGTCCTTTTCAGGGACACCACCAAGTCATTGGTTCAGGTATGTTGATGACACCTGGGTTAAAAATAAATCTCAGGAAGTCCAACATTTTATTGACCACATCATCTCTGTGGATAAATACATCAAGTTCACACGAGAAGATGAAAAAAATGTCAGGTTGGCTTTCTTGGACTGTGAGGTCTCAGTCTCTGATAGAGGACATTTGCAAACTAAGGTGTACCGCAAACCTACCCACACAGACCAGTATTTGCAGTTTGACTCCCATCACCCTTTGGAGCACAAGTTAGGAGTCATCAGGACTCTGTATCACAGAGCAGACAGCGTCCCCACTAGCTCAGGAGCCAGGCAGAAGGAGAAATCCCACGCAAGACAGGCTCTAGAGCAATGTGGATATCCTAACTGGGCCTTCCTGAAAGCAGAGAAGAAACCCAAACAGGACTCCAGTCAGCCATCAGGTGAAAAGGAGGAACCCAGACCCAGACCAGTGGTCATTCCATATGTTGAGGGAGTATCAGAGAAACTGAGACGTTTATTTTCTAAACATAACGTCCCAGTGGCTTTTAAACCCCAAAATACATTACGGCAAAGACTGGTTCATCCCAAAGATCCAGTCCCCCGGCACAAACAGAGTAATGTTGTGTATGCTGTTCAGTGTCAGGAGGGCTGTGATCAGTCTTACATCGGGGAAACAAAACAGCCACTGGCCAAAAGGATGGCCCAGCACAGAAGATCAACATCATCAGGCCAGGACTCTGCGGTCTACACTCATCTCCAGGCCAGCGGTCACTCCTTCAGGGATGAAGATGTGCACATCCTGGATAGAGAGGAACGATGGTTTGAGAGAGGAGTAAAGGAGGCCATCTTTGTGAAAAGAAATCGTCCATCGTTAAACAGGGGTGGAGGCCTCCGGGTTCAATTGTCCCCCTAATACAATGCTGTGATTGCTAGTATCACTCAGCCCTCTGTGAATAGTAAACAGCCATCAGTGTGCTAATGTGCTGATGGTCCTTCTTGAGCATGTGATCAGCTGGTTTTGGTTGTCAGCAGCAAAACTGGTTGATCCACTCTGTGAAGGTGCTATTTAAGAGACTGAGCTGAATACAGCATCTCAGACTGAGGAAGTCTCTCGGATGAGAGATGAAACGTTTCTACATTTTTTTGTTGTTTTGCTTTGTTTTGTTTTTTTGAATGTCCAGAGGACCAGATTGAACTTTTTTTAGATTTTTCTACCTGGATTATTGAGCATGCATCAGAATAAAAAGAGAATCTTCTTGTGTTTGACAGCAGATATAACACTATTTCTTAGAAACCTTCAGGTTTTTTTAAAAAAGAGCTGATGTAAATTGTACAGATCCAGCAAATACAGTTAGCCAATCAGTGTTTGCCCTTTAGAAATGCATCTTCTTTAGAAACACCCACTTTCAGTCTGCAGAGAACCCCTTCTCTCCTGAAGCCTTGTCATTCCCCCATCTGTTACAGAAGCACGATCCGTAGTGTACTTCCGGGTCGCACAGATCGCTGTTGAATATGCTAGATTAAGGAAAATGTACAGGTATAATTCCATTTATGAATAAGAACTGTCTTAATTTACTTAGAAAAGTACATGCTCTGTCTCCACCGATCTTCATGTAGCCGCTCGTATTTTCGTTACAAATCTTTGTGACGCATCAGACCTGACCCCCAGCCTGGGCTGAATGAGAAAAAACCCTGCAAGATACAGAATAAATTATTTCCATGGTGAACCAGCACTGCTCAGTGGTGAAGCTGCATGAATATGTCAACGATTTTAACAGAAATACGAGTGTCGTAAATTAGCAACATGAAAATCGACGGAGATAGAGCACATACTTTTCTAAGTAAATTAAGACAGTTCTTATTCATAAATGGATTTTTACCAGTACTTTTTCCTTAATCTAGCATATTCAACAGCGATCTGTGCGACCCGGAAGTATTCCTTTTAGCACATGCGCAAATGAGCTACACTACGGATCAGCTTCCGTAACAGAATGGAGAATGACAAGCATCAAAGCCCCGCATTATGGTCCCACCCACTCCGCATAAACATTGTGATTGGTTAATGTTCCTGTCAGGCATTAAACAATCTCCTCCTACAGAGACTGACTGAGCTGAGCCTTCGCTCCTGACAGTGAAGCCCTAACTAATGATAAAATACTTTCTAATGTCTGCCTGGCAACAAAAATTTAAAATAATCTGATTGGATAACTGTTTTCGTGAATTACAGTTTCTTGCTAAACTGCAAAGTAGTTTACAGAAAATAAGAGTAATTAGCAAAATAATAAAAAAACCTGAAAATATATTTTTATGTATAAATGCAACATTTCATACTTGTTGAATTTATGGGTCTTCTCTGAAGGTAATAAATATTTGATAAATATTTTTTCACCCACATCTGGTCACACAGCTTTGAGATAAAACTTTCAGATTTAACGCCTGAACGTGATAAACATGCAGCTCAATCAGGAATCGTGACCTTTAGAAGCAGAACATTCAAGTTACACAAACAGAAATTAAAAAATGGACATCAATGGGATTTGGCAAAACTTTATTAAACTTGCCTTTTTGGAGCTCCCTAGCTCTGACAGACGTCACTGCTGGAATGTTGTTCAAAGTTTAGATGGGCAACAGGAAGGTGGACTTGAAATATCTAGAGTAACATTTAGATGTTATCAGTTTTACACCATCACATTTTTTTACAGATCCAGATTGTTCAACAGATGCTTGATAATGTCACATTAGAGTTCTCTGGAGATTTAATAGTTGTTCCAATCAAACTCTTTACAAATCGTTTTTTACTAGACAGTGCAGATGAATTTATTGGTATTCCTCCAAATCATTAAAACAACATTTCTGTTTGTACTGAGGCTTTTTAAGGCCTGGCAGTCAGGGAGTGACAGTCACAAGTTTGTTGTTTCCATGGTAACCCTAATGAGCCACTGATGACAGCTTTAATTATTCTTCTGATTTTGGTTGTCTTTAAGTTTCTTAAACAGTTTAACTATTAAAGTGTCAACAGTTTTATCTGAGCTCACATGTTTTGGGCACAAAGTGCGTTCGCATCCATTTTTATTTTTCTGTTTCTGAATCGCTGCTTTTCTTTGAATTCGTTTGAATTTCAGTGCATTTTCTTCCCCAGACAAGCTGATGATGAGTTCCAGGTACTGGCTAACTCCTGGCGTTATTCCTCTGCCTTTACCAACAAAATCTTCTTTGCGTCGGTGGACTTTGATGAAGGATCTGACATTTTCCAAATGGTGAGATGAGCTCCTCTGGACCGCTGTTGTTTTTCACTGTTTCACACGGAGAGAGTTGTGGTCGTGATCTGCTGCCGTCAGTGGTTGGAAGAGAAGCTCCAACACCAGCTCTGACATCCTCGTTATTATAACAGATTACTCTGCCAGCTCTGTGAAATATATCTTTTCTTGATCGTATCGTTTATATTTTTATACTTTTATGTTTCATGGTTAATTTGTAGTTATTGTCTTTTTTATGATTAAGTTGTTGTGCTTGTAAAGAGAAATAAAGCAGAGTTTCTGCTCTCGAGGTTATTCAAAATGGCTTCTCAGAGTTGTACATTAGGTACACACCCCTCAGGACAGCAGACACTGGTCTGATCTTCCAGAGGGTCAGTGCTGATTGGCTGAGGGCTGGTCAGGGACTCGCCTTATTTCGTTGCTATGACAATCACTTCCTGGAGTCGTTGACTAAACGCTGAAGATATTTGTGTGACGCCATTTTAAAAAATGTGCCGATGTGACTGGCGAGTCCGTGGTACCATGTACTGTCCATGTGTATAAAATACAATTTTCATCTGAGAAATAGATTGTTTCAGAGGAGCCTGACTTGGACAATTGGAACACGTTTTACTTTTATACTGTCCTCCGTCGCACGACAAAGAGGGTAAATGGAGAAAACCCTCCATCTGTCTGTTCGTGCATGTTGTGAGCATAACTTGAAATAACTATAACTTGATGGGTACTAACTGCAGATCAGTTAGCGCTGTGGAAGGTGCTGGTCTGTGTGATGTCCTTGGAGCCTGCAGAGTAGGAAAGGTACAGTCGGAGGACTGAACAAGTTTATTTATTTGACCCAACCTGCATCACCAAAAGTTTTTTTTTCTTCTTTTGACTGAGATTTTCCAAAGAAAATCCAGATTCAGTTACCATAATTTTCACTGTATAAGTTGCAGTTTTTTTTTCCATAAATTAACATGCCCTGTGACTTGTACAGCGAAGCGATGTACTTATGTTCTATTTCGTATAGGCTTCGCCCTTTAAGACTTTCGCTTAGTGGGTTTATCCCGTTATGCGAAGCATTAGCACTGAAAAATTTAGTCCACGCCCACCTGCTGTGTGGGCCCCACCCGGTCTGTATAAATTACGTTAAGAGCGGGAAATCGGCTCCCATTTTTTCTTCAGCGAGCTAAATAGTACTGTCAGAAGAACAAAGAAGGAAAATTGTGTAGATGACCAACCTTTGTTAAGGATGCTTGGCCCGGCAGTCGACCTGCGGTCGTCCGGTGAGTTCTCCTCCCCGAGGAGAAGCTGACGAGCAGTCTTATTTCAAGGTAAGCGCCGAGGAATATTTATCAGTGACAGGTCACTACACGCTGGACAACACCATCTTATATTTTTCCTCTTATCGCCGACCCTCGGAGCGAATCGGATGGTTCCTCTGGGACAGGCGCGCTCAGCTGCAGCCCCCCGCTGCTCAATCCCTCCTGGGGAGCGTAGTGTCGGTGGAGGGGGGCTGAGCGAATGCTCACCCCATCCCACCTCGTTTCGCATCGGCGATCACACCGCTCCTGGCCGACGGCGCCCTCAGGGATTGCCCGGCGTAACCCAGGAGGCGGCTGACATGAAAGGACCCTTTTTTACGTCCTACGCCTTTCCCGCCAGTTCGGATGATCCGGCGGGAAGGTTGTTTACTGGGCTCCATTCCGGCTCACCGTCTTGATCCATATGGCCTTGTGTTCCCAACAGGACGTCCTACGGGCGAGACCACAGACGGGTTTTTTCCTGGTAGATTAGGGGAGCCGGTCTCCACAGTCCGCACCCATCCCCAGAGCAGGGGTTCACAGAGCGGAAAGTCCCTCCGTGCCCCCTGGAGCCGAGCCTGATGGAGGCTTCATCGGAGTAAGATGTCGAGGTGGACCAGCGTTCCGTGCCTCCGGTTAGCATAACCGAGACGGTGACACGGCCGCAGCGAACAACACGTTACGCTGTTGGCGTACACGTTCAGAGGCGGGAAGAGACGGTGGCCCTCTGTCCTTCGTCTCACTCCGCTCTCGTAGCAGCTGCTTGCTAACGACGCTGCCGGCCCCTGCAGTACGCTCAGTCTACAGGTCAGCTGACGTCATCCTCAACTGGTGCGGTGTTTTCCCCGACTTCGCCAACAGGGGGCCCTCCAGGACAACAAACAGAGCTCAACGGAAGGTAACCAGGTGTCCGGTCGTGGGAGGTGTGTTGATGACACTGTGAAATAACATCATTTTATGATGAAGTGTCCTTTAGCCAGGCTGTCAGCATGGTTTATCTGACAAGCGGCCCCATCACACACACTCATCACGAATGAGCCTTTTTTAAGGTTGTTTTCATTCACTGTCAGCAGTGCCGATGCGCGCCCCCGCGGCATGAAAGCGTGCACGCAGCTCTCAGCGCCCACCGTTCACGTCAACGTTCACGTGAGACGACGGTACGAGCTCAGCAACGTATCTCGCTCTCGGCAGAAGCGGCACACGTTTTGTCATTGCAGTGGTGTCAACGCGCGCTCCCGCGGCGTTAGCAGTTTCACAAGCCTCACAGCGGCTCTGCTCCTTTATCCTCAAAGAAGGTTTTCTGAATTAATACTGCAGCTCGTGGAATCATTCTGAAGTTCACGTGACTTGCAGCCAAGAATGAACGTGTTTCTGCAGACCGAGCCAGTGGTAGCCTCGCTTCACCGATGCCGCGCGCTGCTTCCTGACCGTTCCAGTGCCAACGCGCGCTCCCGCGGCGTCAGCAGCTCCACAAGCCTCACAGCGGCTCAGCTTATACATCCTCGAAGAAGGGGTTTTTGTCTGAATTAACATTGCAGCTTGTGGAATCACTCAAAAGCTCACGTGATTCGCAGCAAACAATGAACGCGTTTCTGCAGACCGAGCCAGTAGTAACCTCGCTCCACCGATGGCATGCGGGGCCTCCTTACCGCACCAGTGCTAACGCGCGCCCCCGCGGCAATCCTGGCTTAAAGCGTCGCATGAGGACGCACACACACAACCCTTCAGGGCGTGTCGGCTCATATGTGCACCCGCTTCCTGAGCGTTACACGGAGCAGCAGCACACAACGTGAACACAACACATGAGCTGTTTTTCCCGCAGCAACACACAACGTCTTGCACTCTCACTCAGCGCGCTCCAGTTCACATCAGCATGTATGCGAGTTTTCACAGCATAAATGCGTGCCCGCTTTATAGCTTATAAATGGGTGGCAATGAACGCACGCTTCCAGACGGATGGGCGAACCGTTTTCATCCGGGATTCACGCTGCAGTTCAGCTCAAACCCCGGTGTGGAGGAACTCTGTGACTTTTTTTCTGTCATTTATGAACAGATCTCGTCCCCTCTAGCAGAAGCTCAGGAAATTCTGTTTTAAATGTAATTTCTAGAGTCTCAGATGGAGAGGAAACGCAAGGTCTCTCTTATCATTTCCTGGTCCCAATGAACTGGAAAGATGAGATTTATTCTAGATTGTCAATTTCTGAGCTGTGAGAAACAACACTCCATTATGCGCCTGAGCCGCTTTAACTCTGCGTTATCTGGACACCTGCTGCTGCTGAGCAGCTTGTACAGACAGGTGGCAGCAGTGCAACTCACGAGAATCGGTTGAGTGATATCAGCTGTTTTCCGTCAGCAGACCTACGTCACACACATTTAACAAGCTGTGGGGCACTGTGGCTCTCCACACAGCAGCCTTTTTAAATGTTTTTTGGAGTGTCGCACGGGATCTTTGAATGTGACTCAACACTGACCTTGAGCTGCAGAATCATCAGGGTTTTTGATTCTCAGACAGCAAGTGACTGTTGGATACATACTAGCAGGAAATGTATGCATTTTTTTCAACCCATGTGCCACATTGTGAGACAGATGCTGTGTGGGGCACACCCAATCTGCTCTCCATTGGAGTGGGTACATCTCATGTATTCCACCCAGAGCTAGGGCTCAGACACGGTAGAATCCTGCCAGCGTCTGCGGACGTGTAGCAACACGAGAGAACGCTCAATGTCAATTATAATTATCGTGGAGCCATAGGACGATCCACCGCTGGGTGGACGTGCCTGCTCACAGCCTGTGGTCGTAATGCCTTTCACCTTCTTCTCTCCCTCTGGTATCACGGTTTTCTGAACCGAGCCCAGGAGGAAGGACTGGCAGCCCCTCTGCCCCAAGTGCGTGAACGCATCATGGTTCCCAGGCCTACGATATTTGGTATCAGGGCGCTCGTGGAACCTGCCGTGGAGGGAGGACTCTTCCCTCCAGGCGGGAGCAACGATCAGGAATTAATCAGAATAGGCCAGCACCTGTGGTTTTGGCCGCTGTGCGGATCTTTTGAGAGGATGGATCTCTCTCAAGATGTAGTGCGTACGATTCAGGAGTCACGTGCTGCAACCACCACAGCGCTGTTTACATCAAGTGGTCAGTTTTTCAACGCTGCTGTACAGAAAGGCGTAGAGGCCACTTCATGTCCACTGGACGACATGCTGTCCTTTTCTGCAGCAGTCGATGGACAGAAATCTGGCGTTCAGCACGATTATCGTATGCTGCAGACATGTTTTCTTCTTGTCTCAAAGTTGTCGGAGACAGAACAACTTTTAATCATCCTCTGACGGAGCATTTGACTCAGATTGAAATTGCAGCTGTGGGCCTGTTTGTGACACGAGAAAACGCTCAGTGTCAATTATGGCTTTCTCTGAGTCCACGAGACGAACCACCACTGGGGGTGGATGCGTTTGCTCACAGTCCATGGCCCAAAATGCTTCTGTACGCGTTTTCCTCCACCTCCTCTGATTTTACGGTTCCTGAACCGAGTTCAGGAGGAGGGATTGACAGCTCTCCTGGTGGCCCCCGAGCGCGTGAGCGCACCATGGTTCCCAGTCCTGCAACGCCTGCTGTCGGGGCGCCCGTGGAAACTGCCATGGAGGGAGGACGCTCTCCTCCAGGCAGGAGGAGCGATCAGGAGTTACCCAGAAATAGGCCAGCACCTGTGGTCTGGCCGCTGAGCAGATCCGCTTAGAGAGGATGGGTCTCCCACAGGATGTAGTGCGCACAATTCAGGTTTCACGTGCTGCATCTACCACAGCGCTGTGCACATCAAAGCGGACAGCTTTTCAGTGCTGGTGTACAGAGAAGGGTGTAGAGGGCACCTCATGTCCATTAGGTGGCATGCTGTCCTTTCTGCAGCAGCTGATGGACAGAAATTTGGCATCCAGCATGATTAAAACGTACGCTGCAGCCTCTCTTCCTGCCACGAAGGATTCAGAGACAGAACAGGTTTTAATATTCCGCTGATGAAGCTTTTTTAAAAGGTGTACAGAGACACAGGCCTGTTTCACACCCACTTGTTCCACAGTGGGATTTAACACTGGTCCTGCAGGTCCTGATCAAAGCTCCATTTGAGCCTCTGGATCAGGTTCCACTTAAATTCTTGTCTCTTTAAACAGCCCTGCTGTTGGTTTTAACATCCGCTAAGAGAGTGAGTGATTTATCTGCCCTCTCTGTCACTCCGTCATGTCTCAGAATTCAGGCTGATGGCAGCTCAGCTGATTTAAGACCAAACCCAGCTTTTATGCCTAAAAACATCACGAGCTCTTTTAAATCAAGAGCGATATAATTGGAGGGGGTCCCCCCCCCCCCCACACACACACACACACAGATCAGAAGAAGTAGCGTCTTTTCTCATCTTCTCTGTCCGGTGCGGGCGTTGACGTGTTACATAGCGTGCACAGCTGCAATGCGTCAACATTTGTTGTGCATTATAGAGATACATCTGCATATCGCCCGTTATCCACCCAGCGCCTATCACACTGGCTGTGTGAGACCATTTCTGAAGCTTACAGAGCATCAGATTTAGAGCCTCCTGTCAACCTCAGAGCACACTCGACCAGGGGTATCGCATCTTCGACTGCCTTGCATAATGGTATGACAATGCAGGACATTTTGCACTGCGGCCGAGGGGTCAACACCCTGCTCATTCATTCACTTTTATCTACGTGATGTGACGGCTCGTTCCATGACACATTCTGTCCTTAGTGTTACAGAATGAATATTGTTGTTTCATGGAACTCCATTTAACTCACATCTGTCTGCATGCATTACAGTGTGAGACGTTGTTATCAATCACAAATTGTGATTGTTATTTTGGTTCTATTGTCACTAATCAGTTCACGACTATTGTTACCAAACAGTTCATTTGATTAATAATCAGCTCTCCTGTTATTATTAATCTGTTCATACTGTTCAGCCGTAAACCTGTTGGTTCATGGCTCTTTTCAGCATTTTTCCCTCCCCGTTGAATTTTCCGGGGCGTTCATGCATTCAGAACGCATAGTTACACAACATGCGTCTGTGCACGGCACACATAATTACGCAATGCGTAATTACGCACATGGGGAGCTGAGTGACAAGACGTTTTTTGGGCAAGCTTCTGCTTCATACGGTGTTCGAATGGACCCAGTGAGGCGAGGACAACATCCGCTTCGCCCTTAACCCATCAGCGACAGCCTTAAAGGGTGAAGCTTATACGAAATAGAACGTTGGTTACGTACTGTAACCCCAGATTCTATGAGTATAGGCGTAGCCCTTTAAGCGTCGGGCCTCACTGGCTCCTAAATGGCTGAAGAAAAAGCTATTTTGGGAGCCGATTTCCCGTGCTTAACGTAATTTATACGGACCGGGTGGGGCCCACACAGCAGGTGGGCGTGGACTAAATTTTTCAGTGCAATGCTTCGCATATTGGGATAAACCCATCAGCGACAGCCTTAAAGGGCTACACTTATACTCATAGAATCTGGGGTTACAGTACGTAACCGTTTTATCAGCTGCAGCTCCTTCTTCCTTGTGACTCCGACATGTTTACGTTTATCAGCGTGATTCTCCCGTGTCGTGTCGTGAATTTTCAAAACTGCACGTTTCTCATTTTTTATCTTTGTGAAGAGCTCCCACACTTTGGAGGACGTGGGTCGAACAGTTTTCTCTGCGTCGGTCATTTGTAAAATTTACTTATTTTCCTTTGAAAACACCGCCTCTGCTCTGCTTCCTCCTCCCTCCTTGCTCTGTTCAACTCGCGCTGCAGAGTTTTTTTTTTTTTACTTTATTCAGTCAGTCAGCATTGACAATGAACTGCAGGTGAACAAAACGGCTCTGCAGCACTGTGAAAGAAGCATAATCGCGCAACACAACGAATCGATAATGAAATTCATTACCAACGCTTTCAATCATGGATTTTTATCGATTTTATTGATTCTTTGTTGCATCCCTAGTTTCCTTACATTGACTGTTCACCTCCAGACCAGAAAAACACTCATGTTGAAAACTACAAACATTTACTCTTCAAATCCCTCAGTGATGGAGGACATGGGCCTCCAAAGCCGGTTCTGAAGGAACGCACGTTGTCTCTATGTTGGACCATTTTCTGTTGAGAGATGGACATTTACATCAAACCTTGAATGTATATCATCTTAATAACAATTATTGTAAAATCTCCTGAGACCTGTTGGCATATTGTCAGCCATTTTTGCCTTTCAGCAGTGGGCCATAAATTGTCGTTTATTTACATCGTAGATTTCTGATGAATACAACTCTGCCAGAAAAGATTTAAATCTCAAATAACATCAATAGTTATAAAACAATAAGTCTGCATGGTTGATAAACTCGCAGAGTTCCTGCTTCTCTTCTTGTTCTTATCGATTTGTGTTAAAATTGTTTTAAAGAGCATCAATTATTCATTTAGTTATTTTAAAGTGTGTGTGTGTGTGTGGGGGGGGGGATTTCAGCCCTACTGAAGTCCTCGGGTGTTTAACATTTTCACTGTTTGCAGCTCAACATGAATTCAGCGCCCACCTTCCTTCACTTCCCGCCTAAAGGAAAACCGCTGCGCTCCGACACCTACGAGCTGCAGGTCCGAGGCTTTTCAGCTGAGCAGCTCGCCAGGTGGGTGGCAGACAGGACAGACGTACAGGTGAGCCGTTCATCTAAAGCACAACTTCCTCAAGAACACACGGGTTCTTCACATTTGTTGCTACATTCTGTATTGGTTAACTACGGGTCCCTCAGACCACCTCAGGGGTCTGTGTTTAATTATCCTATCATCAACTCATTAATCAAAGGAGACACACAAGGAAATGCAAGATCTTTTCATCCCAGGTTTAATCCTTGGAAAGGGCGCAACATTGAAAACAGGCTTACAAGAGGTTATACGACAAGAGGTTATACGACACCCTGATCATAAGGTCTGCCCGTGGACTAGAGAATTTAGGAAAGCTTACATACGTGTTATCAGACAGAGATGAGGTCAAGATGACCTCTGCTTCACAGCTCACAGTAGTTGAAGGCATAAGAAGTTATCAGACTCCTCTCTGTGTAAATAGTAAATGGACTGTACTTGGCACCTTTTTATCTTATCAAAACAAAGCTCTTTATGCTACAATCTGTGCCTTATTTACCCATTCATACAGCACTCTACTAGATCTCTAAATGAGCAGCAGATTCTACCTATTCTATTCTAATCAGTGTTTTATCACATTCAAACACTGATGGGACACACATCAGAGGCAATGAGGTGTTCAGTGTCTTGCCCAGGGACACTTCGGCATGTGACTGCTGGTAGATTCAAACCCCCAACTCTTGCATTGGAGGATGACTGCTCTAGCCACTCAGCCTAGAGTTGCATTCGGGCCCAAAAAAGCTGATCTGACCCGGCCCCTGCCCGCAGTCATAATTTCTGAACCCCACCCAACCCGACGAATTAATGGTAATTACAGGTCCGAACCCGGAAAAAAAACCTGACATTTTTAATTAATTATTAACGGTCGGGGATGCGCGGCTGAATGGGGCAGAAGATCGAAGCTGAGGTGGTGTTTGTCCTTTCATGCTTCTGCCTGCATTCTGATTTATTCAGACACGGACCCTGCTCTGACACACGTCTGCTTTGGGATCTTACCTGTTTGGGTCGTCGGCTGCATGCGTCATCTGAGTGCAGCGGCTGAATGGATGTCTATTTGGGTGATGGATCACTTCCTGGCAGTATAGTCCCATCTGAAGCTTAACTGAACTTTGTACCTCTTTCAAGGCCGGTCAGCTCGTGGTGAAATGGCCACGTGTGACTGGTCAATGTATGGCAGGACATGTTATCATATAATTGGATCGCGCCCAATCCTGACCCAATCAAAAGCCCGACACCGACCTGGCCCGTCCATCCAGCACATTATAATAGCCCGGCCCTGCGTCCCGTCCCGAATTTGGGTCGGGTGGGGCCAGGCTTAGGACTCAAGGTAGAAATGACAGCTGTAACTCAGCAACAGTTACCCAAAGTAGTAGAGAGAAGTGGAGTAGAAGAAGTTGAGAAGACAGAAAGACTCGCTTGACTTCACACATGGTTCTATATTAATTTAACATTAGTAAGTGAAAACATCCATGACCTTTACATAAAGTCCCTCAACATTCTGCACCCTGTTGTCTGCAGGGAGTCTGAACATGAGCTGCGACATTCACCCTGGAGGAGTGGATTCTGTTTAATGTTCTGATTGTTCCTGGATGCAATCCAAGAACATAATCTGGACACGATCTGGATAGTGGATGGAGTCGATTGATGTGACTGAATAATTATTGATGTCAAACATCTGGATATAATCTGGATCTGCTGTGGTCACTAAGGAGCAGCATTCGTTTTTCTTTTGTACATTTCTTGGAGTCTAGCTTATTAATTTATTTTCTATTTCAACACTTCATGTATCAAATCGTTTGGCTCGTTCAGGACATTACTGCTCATTCACATCCTTCAAACCCTTTACAACCTTCTTTTGCTCGTTTCAGCTACTTTCTGCTCGTTTCAGCTTCTTTCTGATCCTTTCAGCTACTTTCTGCTAATTTAAACTTCTTTCTTGTCGTTTCAACTACTTTCTGCTCATTTCAGCTACTTTCTGCTCGTTTCAGCTTATTTCTGAACATTTCAGCTTCTTTCTGCTTGTTTCAGCTTCTTTCTGCTCGTTTCAGCTTCTTCCTGCTCATTTTGAAATGGACAAGATGGCGCCGTTGTATGTGGCTTGTCGTCTGTCTCTTCTCAAGTTGTTACTTTTTGTGCTATTTTTCTTGACTTTTGTTCAGATTGTGTCATCACTGTTTACTTATGACCGCCAGACACTTTTAAATATTAATTCCATCGTGGGAAAAGTACCGTTTCGTGACCTTTATGGACGATCCAAGACTTTTCCTCCACCTCACCTGGCATCCATACCTCCATTTCTACGGAATCCTTGTGTTGTGGTCGCCCGCAGTGGGCGCCGTCGCAGGAGACGCGGCAGGAGGGGTGGGTTGCTTGTGAAGCTTCGGGCTCACTTCGCCTCTTCTTCATTCCAATCTTCGCGCAAGATTCTCAGGAAATACAACTTTGTGGACATACGATGCCCCATGGAATATTCATACAGCTGGTTACGCGTCGTGGATACGGACACCGGCAGCGGCGCATTTCCTGGTCTTCGGCGTGCAAAGATCTGTAGGCGTGGCAGGGTTCAGGAGAACCTCCGCTCCTTTGGCCGCGCATCCCAGGATAACAGCCAGTGCTCCATCCGGATGGCTCTTCTGAACACTAGATCTGTCATAAATAAAACTTTTATTCTCCACGATTTCTTCTGCGCAAACTCTCTGGACTTTCTGCTGCTGACAGAAACGTGGCTGAGACCGGGCGATAACAGCGCGTTTTCTGATCTCTCCCCCTCGGGCTGCTCCTTCTTCAGCTCCCCACGTCTGACAGGCCGCGGTGGTGGTGTTGCCACTATCTATAAGGACAATTTTAAATGCAGACTTCTGCCCACCATCGCTTACTCCTCCTTTGAACTTCAGATGTTTGTGATTGAGCTCACCCCGAATGTTTTATGTGCTGTTGCCTATCGCCCACCTAAATATAACAAGGAATTCATTCAAGAATTCTCTGAATTCCTTGCTGATATTATTTCTAATTATGACAGTTTTTTTATTTGTGGAGATTTTAATATTCGTATTTGTTGTCCCACTGACCCACTGGCTTCTGAGTTTTTAAAGCTTTTAGCCTCTTTTAATTTAACACAATCAGTGAATTCACCAACACATCATCTTGGCCACACTCTGGGCCTTATTATTTCTCATGGACTGTCCATTTCTCACTGTGAAATTTCTGAGTCTGCCATCTCGGATCATTTCCCTATTTTTTTCCAATTTACAGCCCCCCACCCAGCCAGGAGGCCTCTGGCTGCGGGGTGTCATCGCCGCTGTCTCACCTCAGCCAGTGCCCGACAGTTTACCACTGCTTTTATGGACTCACAGTTTTATTCAGTTGGTCCTGATGTTTCTCTGTGTCCCAAAGATTTCCTGTCATTGTTTTCTGATACCTGCACTGGGATCCTGGACTCTATTGCTCTGGTGAAGTTCAGACACCCTAAACCCAGAGCTGAGCCTTGGATGAAAAATCCTACTGCATGCAAACTCAGGAGACAATGTAGAAGGGCTGAAAGACAGTGGAAGCATGACAGGCAACATGATTCTTTGGTTTTATTAAGGAGAACTCTTGTTCTGTATCAGAGATCTGTTAATGATGCAAAATCACAATTTCTGTCTAACATTATCACAAACAGTAGCCACTGCCCCAGGGTGTTATTTAATACAATTAACTCTGTTTTAAATCCACCCACCTCAGTCTTACCTGATGCCTCAGCCTCCACCTGTGAGAACTTTCTCTCCTTTTTTATTGATAAAGTTGCATCGGTTAGACAAGCCACAGGCACACCTGCTACTTCTGTTTCAGAGTGTTCTTTTATCTCTGCTGGTTCTGCTTTATTCGAGCGGTTTGAACCAGTGTCTTATTCCCTCTTGGACAAAATCGTCAAATCCATTAAACCCACCAACTGCCCCACTGATTTTCTCCCCACCAGATTATTGAAAGAGGTATTTAATATTGTTGGTCCTTACCTTCTTCCTTTTTTCAATTCATGTTTGTCCATTGGAATTATGCCTTCTGCTTTTAAACATGCAACGGTCCGCCCCCTTCTCAAAAAAACAAATCTTGATCCCTTGGTTTTATCAAATTTTAGACCTATTTCTAATTTATCCTTCCTGTCCAAAGTTTTAGAAAAAATTGTTCTTACGCAAATTCAGCCTTTTCTGGAAAAAATCACAATCCTGGATAAATTTCAATCTGGTTTTAGATCCCGACATAGCACAGAATCTGCATTATTGAAAGTGCATAACGACATAGCTCAGTCAGTTGACTCTGGGTGCCCAGTAGCTCTGGTGCTCCTCGACCTCACAGCAGCCTTTGACACTGTGGACCACTCTGTCCTTCTGTCTCGCCTCCATGATTTTGTTGGGATTCGTGGTAATGCTCTGAAGTGGTTCACGTCCTATTTATCTGATAGAACCTTTTCTATCTTGTTCAATGGCTCCTCTTCCTCTACAGCCCCTCTTCTGTGTGGGGTGCCACAGGGTTCCATTTTGGGTCCTTTGCTCTTTTCATTATACATGTTGCCACTTGGATCTATTATAAGACAACACAATGTCAACTTTCATTTTTATGCAGATGATTTGCAGATCTATTTACCATTAAGGCCAGGATCCAATAACCCAATGCTTTCTCTCTTCGACTGCATCTCTGCAATCAAACATTGGCTGAACAAGAACTTCCTGTTTTTAAATGACAGTAAAACAGAATGGATTTTATTTGGTGACAAAGATGCAACTGGCCTGGGAAATTTGGACATAAACTTCAGTGACTGTGTGAATAACCTTGGGGTGACCTTTGATAAGGCTTTACACTTTGACAAACATATTGCCTCTGTTGTCCGGTCGGGATTCTTTTATTTACGCCTTTTAAAAAAGGTCAAACCCTTTTTAAATTGTTACGACCTGGAGAAAGCTGTTCATGCTTTTATCACTTCTAGGCTCGATTATTGTAACGCTCTGTATGTCGGTGTACCACAGTCATCACTGAGTCGCCTCCAGCTTGTACAGAATGCAGCAGCGCGCCTTTTAACCAACACTCCTAGATGGGACCACATCACACCTGTTTTATTCTCACTACATTGGCTCCCTGTCCGTTTTAGAATAGATTTTAAACTTTTATTATTTGTTTTTAAAGCTCTGAATGGCCTTGCTCCTCCTTATATAACTGAGATGCTAAGTTTCCCTGCCCGCTCCAGATCTTTGAGGTCAGACAGCCAGCTCCTGCTCTCTGTTCCAAGGACTAAATATAAATGCTGGGGTGACCGTGCCTTTTCTGCGGCCGCACCTCGACTCTGGAATAAGCTCCCACTTGATCTGCGTCAGATTACTGAACTTGGCCCTTTTAAATCGAAGCTTAAGACTTTTTTATTCCAACAAGCTTTTAGTACGTAAATATGTGGTGACATTTCTGGTTTTATTTGTGCTATTATGTTGTGTTTTCTTGCTTTTAACCTATTGTCATTTTAAGTACTGTTTTTTGTTAAGCACTTTGGTCACCATCACCATGGTTGTGTAAAGTGCTATAGAAATAATTAAATAATTAATTAATAATTTTAGCTTCTTCCTGCTCGCTTTAGCTTCTTCCTGCTTGCTTTAGCTTCTTCCTGTTCATTTAATCTTCTTTCTGCTTGTTTCATCTTCTTTCTGCTTGTTTCAGCTTCTTTCTGCTCGTTTCAGCTTCTTCCTGCTCATTTTAGCTTCTTCCTGCTCGCTTTAGCTTCTTCTTGCTCGCTTTAGCTTCTTCCTGTTCATTTAATCTTCTTTCTGCTCGTTTAATCTTCTTTCTGCTCGTTTGAGCTTCTTCCTGCTCATTTCAGCTTCTTTCTGCTTGTTTTAGTTTCTTTCTGCTCCTTTCAGCCTCTTTCTGCTCGTTTAATCTTCTTTCCGCTTGTTTCAGCTTCTTTCTGCTCGTTTCAGCTTCTTCCTGCTCATTTTAGCTTCTTCCTGCTCGCTTTAGCTTCTTCCTGCTCGCTTTAGCTTCTTCCTGTTCATTTAATCTTCTTTCTGCTCGTTTAATCTTCTTTTTGCTAGTTTAATCTTCTTTCTGCTCGTTTGATCTTCATTCTGCTCATTTCAACTTCTTTCTGCTTGTTTTAGTTTCTTTCTGCTCCTTTCAGCCTCTTTCTGCTCGTTTAATCTTCTTTCTGCTTGTTTCGGCTTCTTTCTGATTGTTTCATCTTCTTTCTGCTCTTTTCAGCTTCTTCCTGCTCATTTCAGCTTTTCTCTGCTCGTTAGAGCTTTTTCCTGTTCATTTAATCCTCTTTCTGCTCGTTTAATCTTCTTTCTGCTCGTTTAATGTTCATTCTGCTCATTTCAACTTCTTTCTGCTTGTTTCTTCTTTTTTCTGCTTGTTTCAGCTTCTTTCTGCTCGTTTAATCTTCTTTCTGCTTGTTTAATCTTCTTTCTGCTCGTTTAATCTTCTTTCTACTCGTTTCAGCTTCTTTCTGCTTGTTACAGCTTCTTTCTTCTCGTTTCAGCTTCTTCCTGCTCGTTTCAGCTTCTTTCTGCTCGTTTCAGCTTCTTCCTGTTTGTTTAATCTCTTTTCTGCTCGTTTAATCATCTTTCTGCTAGTTTAATCTTGTTTTTGCTCATTTCAACTTCTTTATGCTCGTTTCAGCTTCTTTCTGCATGTTTCAGCTTCTTTCTGCTCGTTTCACCTACTTTTGAGGTATATTTCTGCTTATTTATGCCTTTTGTGCTTTTTTTGAATAATTTTACATTTATTTACCTTTCAGCTACTTTTCTGCTGATATCTGCTTCCTTTGGCTGGTTCATCTTTTTTATTTTCCTGCTTTCAGCTGTTCAAACTCAGCTCACACGAACAGTTTGGACATGAAACGTTTTCAGCAGCAAACGTTCATGCTGCATGTTAGCAGAACGTGCAGTTCCTCGCTCCTCTTGCAGTGGAGCTTGAAAAGTTTGTGAACCCTTTAGAATTTTCTTTATTTTTGCATAAAATGAGCTAAAACATCATCAGATTCGTCGTAAAAGTAGATAAAGAGTACCCAGTTAAACAAATGAGACTAAATATTATACTTGATCATTTATTTATTGATGAAAATGATCCATTATTACATATTTGAGTGGTAAATGTATGTGAACCTATAGGATTATCAGTTAATCTGAAGGTGAACTTAGAGTCAGGTGTTTTCAATCAATGGATGATGATCAGGTGTGAGTGGACACCCTGTTTGATTTAAAGAACAGGGATCTATCAGAGTCTGCTCTTCACAACATGTTTGGAAGTGGATCATATCAGGAACAAAATAAAATTCTGAGGAGCTCATAAAAAGAGTTGTTGATGCTCATCAGGCTGGAAAAAGTTACAAAACATCTGTAAAGAGTTTGGACTCCACCAATCCACAGTCAGACAGAGTTATGGTAAATCGTAAATGGACTGTACTTATATAGCACATTTCTATCTTATTTCAAGATATTCAAAGTGCTTTACACTGCAATCTGTGTCCTCATTTACCCATTCATACAGCACTCTACTAGATCTCTACAAAGCTAATTGAACAAATCATTCTAAAGAGACTAATCAGTGCTTTTTTTAAGATCACATTCATACACTGATGGGACACACATCAGAAGCTATGAGGGGCTCAGTGTCTTGCCCAGGGACACTTCAGCATGTGACTGCTGGTGGATTCGAACCCCCAACTCTCGCATTGGAGGACGACTGCTCTAACCACTCAGCCACAGCCGCCCCACAAGACCATTGTTCCCTCCCCAGGAGTGGTGGACCAACAAAGATCACTCCAAGCTGTGGAATAGTCAGTGAGGTCACAAAAGACCCCAGGGTAACTTCTCTCTCACTTTAATGTTGATGTTCATGAGTCCACTGTCAGGAGAACACTGAACAACAAGTGTCATGGCAGGTTGAAGGAGGAAGACTCTGCTCTCCAGAAAGAACATTGCTGCTCGTCTGCAGGTCATATTTATGAAGAAATAGACAATTCTAAAGGGTTCACAAACTTTCATGCACCACAGTTCTGTGTGTTAGGTGATGAAGCTCATCAGGAGGTGCAGTCACCCTGAAGCGTGTTAGTAAAGTTCAGACGTGTTACAGAGCGCCTGACGTCTCGCTCGCACTCTTTGAGGGTTCTGGTGTAACGCGCCGGTCACTGAAATGGTTTTGAGGTGCAGGTTTTACCACCATCGTAACAGATTTGTAACGAGTCTGAACAGCCCCACAAAGACGAGGAGAACGTCTTAGCATCACAAGCATGTCTGCACGTTTCAGATCCGCGTCATCCGTCCACCCAACTACGCTGGGCCTCTCCTGCTGGGCCTCCTCCTGGCTTTGATTGGAGGACTGGCGTATCTGCGACGGCACAACTTGGAGTTTCTGTTCAGCAAGAACGTTTGGGCCTTCTCTGCAGTGGTAACCACACGCACACACACACACACACAGAGTCCTTGGAAGAATGCATATCGCCTACCGCCTTTAATGCCAGATTTTAGGACTAAGATCTTTTCAAAGGTCACTCTGTGTGAAACAGACATTTATCTGTTTCTGTGTTTTCAAAGCTGTGCAGACCAGTGTGCAAATCAGGTTGACTCCAAAACGTTGTAGATGGATGATATTTTGCTAACAAACAGAAACAAGCTAAAACATGATTGCCCATTTTTTTAAAGCTATAATTACGGATTATCTAGTGCTTTTCCACAGTACTAATGTGAGCATGATAACTTGAAAATTAAGCGAGGGACTGACTTCTGTTTTGTTGTGTGGCTGCAACAAAGTGTAGGAAAGGTTCTTTTTGAAAGTTGGGTAGCTATGTGGGGCAGCACGGTGGCGCAACTGGTAAAGCTGCTGCCTCTCAGCGAGCAGGTCCTTGGTTCAAACCCCGGTCCAGGGGCCTTTCTGGGTGGAGTTTGCATGTTCTCTCCTTGCATGCGTGGGTTTTCTCCAGGTGCTCCGGTTTCCTCCCACAGTCCAAAAACATGCATGTTAGGCTGATTGGTAACTCTAAATTGTCCCTAGGTGTGAGTGAGAGAGTGAATGGTTGTTTGTCTCGTTTGTCTCTATGTGGTCCTGTGATGGACTTGCAACCCGTCCAGGGTGTACCCCGCCCCTCGCACAGTGATTGCTGGACATGGGGACCAGCGACCCCCGTGACCCAAAATGGAATAAGCGGGTAAAGATAATGGATGGATGGATGGGTAGCTATGTGAAAATCCAAGCCAAATGTTCCATTTTGGTGTGTTTAGGTGTAAATAAGGACAACATTGAGTCGGGTCGCTTTATCAAAATCCAAGATGGCCACCACCACCATATATGTATGTAAACTGGCCACCCCTGCCATTTGAGGAAACTATGCTTTCTAGTTAAATGTTCTCCTTAGATAGAGAACTTTACTAATTGGCTTTTATGTATGTGAATGTTCCTGTAAAGTGCCCTGAGACAACTTTGTTGTGATTTGGCGCTATATAAATAAACTGAATTGAACTGAATTAATTTTTATGTTGCTTAAAACTATAGTTTCCTCAAATGACTTGGGTGGCTTAAGATTAATCTCTAGGGGGCCATGGCCACCATTGGCCACCCCCTGGTTCCTCTGCTGCACCTGTGGCTCCCTCCACTCCGCATCTGTTATTCTCCACAGTGTAACTCCAACCTTTTAAGTTTAGCTGGTGTTTTTGTGTTTCAGTGCTTCACCCTGATCATGACATCAGGCCAGATGTGGAACCACATCCGAGGGCCCCCGTATGCACACAAGAACCCCAGCACGGGACAAGTGGTAAGTCCACAAGTCTGAACCACGCAGCACAAAGTGTTCACACTTTAATATGGTATTTGAAAGTATCACATTATACATTATTATAATTTAGCGTACTTTATGCTATTCTAGAATCCAAACATTCAGAAGATTCCTGCCGTGACTTTTAGTTTTTGTAAATTGAATACTTCTGAATTTTTCAAATTGATCTCGTAGTAAAACATTAAGGTCTCTTTTAAACTAGTTTAACCAGAAGAAATCTGTTTCAGGCTTCAGTTTGGTCTTATTGTGCTACATTTAGCATTTAGCTTCCATTCTACTACTTTTGCTACTTTTGAGTTACCATTACAGTCATGGATGAATTTGTTTTTACACTTTCTGTTGAGGAAAAGCCCACAAGTGTCACTGAAATACCTCGAAACTGACAAAAGTAAAAAGGTGAAAAAAGACGAGTTAAAATTCAGCCACTGCTTTTAAATTTGGTTCAGCATAATAGTTTCAGAAATCATTGTGATGGCTTCACATGACCGAATGTTGGCAACAATAAAATAAATCATTTATATGTTTTGTGACAGGGTCAAAGCCATTTAACAGTCCACGCTGTAAATATCTGCTGTTATCAGTCTGAACTGTGAATCTGTTTTTGTAGTTTTACTAAGTTACAATATCAAACACTGGAGCACATGGTTGTTGTTTTGTTTTGTTTTGTTTTCCTGCAAACAAATAAATAAAATAATCTTTCTTGTATTCTTCTCTTACTGTGAGTTTTATTGTTTTTCAGAGTTACATCCACGGCAGCAGCCAGGCCCAGTTCGTGGCAGAGACACACATCGTCCTGCTCTTCAGTATCCTTCAGCTGCCTTCAGTTGGAAGTTTAATTAACTTGATTAACTAATTATGTAATCAATAATAATTTATTATTTATAATTAATTAATTTGATTAACAATAAGTTAATTGTAGTTGATGAGGAGTAGCTGAGTTGGATCTTTGATGAATTTGTGTGAGCTCCCCTATCTTCCATTATTAGGCGTAAGAAAGTTTACAGTTGAAAACTGGGTTCATCCATCCATCCATTTTCTTCCGCTTATCCGGGGTCAGGTCACGGGGGTAGCAGCCTAAGTAGGGAGGCCCAGACTTCCCTCTCCCCAGCCACTTGGGCCAGCTCCTCCGGGGGGAATCCCGAGGCGTTCCCAAGCCAGCCGAGAAACATAGTCCCTCCAGCGTGTCCTGGGTCTTCCTCCGGGCCTCCTCACGATGGGACGTGTCCGGAACACCTCACCAGGGAGGCGTCCAGGAGGCATCCTAAACAGATGCCCAAGCCACCTCAACTGGCTCCTCTCGACGTGGAGAAGCAGCGGCTCTAATCTTAGTCCCTCCCGGATGATCGAGCTTCTCACCCTATCTCTAAGGGAGAGCCCAGACACCCTGCGGAGAAAACTCATTTCGGCCGCTTGTATCCGAGATCTCATTCTTTCGGTCACAACCCAAAGCTCGTGACCATAGATGAGGGTAGGAACGTAGATAGATCGGTAAATTGAGAGCTTCGCCTTTTGACTCAGCTCTCTCTTCACCACGACAGACCTGTACAACGCCTGCTTTACTGCTGACGCTGCACCTATCCGCCTATCGATCTCACGCTCCATTTTTCCCTCATTCGTGAACAAGACCCCAAGATACTTAAACTCCTCCACTTGGGGTAGGACCTCCTCCCTGACCCAGAGAGGGCACTCTACCCTTTTCCGGCTCAAGACCATGGCCTCGGATTTGGAGGAACTGATCTTCATCCAGGCCGTGTCGCATTCGGCTGCGAACTGCTCCAGCGAAAGCTGTAGATCATGATCTGATGAAGCCAATAAGACCACATCATCTGCAAAAAGCAGAGACGCAATCCTAAGGCCACCAAAACGGATCCCCTCAACACCTTGGCTGCGCCTAAAAATTCTGTCCATAAAAGTTATGAACAGAATCGTTGACAAAGGGCAACCTTGGCGAAGTCCAACTCTCAACGGGAACAAGCCCGACTTACTGCCGGCGATGCGGACCAGGCTCTGACACCGGTCATACAGGGACCTAACAGCCCGTATCAAAGGGCCTGGTACCCCATACTCCCAGAGTATCCCTCCACAGGGTTCCCCGAGGGACGCGGTCGAACGCCTTCTCCAAGTCCACAAAGCACATGTAGACCGGTTGGGCAAACTCCCACGCACCCTCCAGGACCCTGCTGAGAGTGTAGAGCTGGTCCAGTGTTCCACGGCCAGGACGAAAACCGCACTGCTCCTCCTGAATCCGAGGTTTGACTATCCTACGGACCCTCCTCTCCAGAACCCCCGAATAGACCTTACCAGGGAGGCTTAAGAGCGTGATTCCCCTGTAGTTGGAACACACTCTACGGTCCCCCTTTATGAATAGGGGGACCACCACCCCGGTCTGCCAATCCAGGGGAACTTCCCCCGATGTCCACGCAATATTGCAGAGTCGCGTAAGCCAACACAACCCTACAACATCCACAGCCTTAAGGAACTCTAGGCGAATCTCATCCACCCCTGGGGCCCTGCCACCGAGGAGCTTTTTAACCACCTCGGTGACCTCAGCACCAGAGATTGGAGGGCCTGACCCAGAGTTCCCAGGCTCCGATTCCTCATTGGAAGACGGGCCGGTGGGATTGAGGAGTTCTTCAAAGTATTCCGCCCACCGACCCACAACATCCCGAGTTTAGGTCAGCAGCACACCACTCCCACTATAAACAGTGTTCGTGGCGTACCGCTTTCCCACCCTGAGACGCCGGATGATGGACCAGAATTGCCTAGAAGCCGTGCGGAAGTCATTCTCCATGGCCTCTCTGAACTCCTCCCATGCCCGAGTTTTTGCCTCAGCGAACACCCGAGCCACATGTCGCTTGGACTGCCGGTACCCATCAGCTGCTTCCGGGGTCCCACAGGCCAAAAAGGCCCGATAGGACTCCTTCTTCAGCCTGACAGCATCCCTCACTGACGGTGTCCACCATTGGTTATGAGGGTTGCCGCCGCGACAGGCACCGACAACCTTGCGGCCGCTGCTCCGGTAAGCCACCTCAACAATAGAGGCACAAAACATGGTCCACTCAGACTCAATGTCCCCCACCTCTCTCGGAACATGTTCGAAGTTCTCCCGGAGGTGGGAGTTAAAACTCCGTCTCACAGGAGACTCTGCCAGACGTTCCCAGCAAACCCTCACAATACGTTTGGGTCTGCCAGGTCTGACTGGCATCCTCCTCCACCATCGGAGCCAACTCACCACCAGGTAGTAATCAATGGACAGCGCCGCCCCTCTCTTCACCCGAGTGTCCAAGACATGTGGCCGCAGATCAGATGAGACGATGACAAAGTCGATCATCGAACTGCGGCCTAGGGTGTCCTGGTGCCAAGAGCACATATGGACACCCTTATGCTTGAACAAGGTGTTTGTTATTGACAATCCATGACGAGCATAGAAGTCCAACAACAGAACACCACTCGGGGTCAGATCGGGGGGCCGTTTCTCCCAACCACACCCCTCCAGGTCTCACTGTCATTGCCCACATGAGCATTGAAGTCCCCCAGCAGAACAAGGGAGTCCCCAGGAGGTTAACTTTCCAGTACCCCCTCCAAGGACTCCAAAAAGGGTGGATAATCTGAACTGCCGTTTGGTGCATAAGCACAAACGACAGTCAGAACCCGTCCCCCCACACGTAGGCTGAGGGAGGCCACCCTCTCATTCACCGGGGTGAACCCCAACACACAGGCACCAAGTTGGGGGGCAATAAGTATGCCCACTCCTGCTCGACGCCTCTCACCAGGGGCAACTCCAGAGTGGAAGAGTGTTCAGCCCCTCTCAAGGAAACTGGTTCCAGAGCCAGAACCATGCGTAGAGGTGAGTCCGACTATTTCTAGCCGGAACCTCTCAGCCTCACACACTAGCTCAGGCTCCTTCCCCACCAGTGAGGTGACATTCCACGTCCCAATAGCCAGCTTCTGTAGCCGAGGATCCGACCGCCAGGGACGGACGTACGTACGAAGTCTGCATGTTGTCTGTTGGGTTTTTTTCACCTTTTGATACTTTTGTAAACTCATGATTAGTTTTCGTACAGGATCTGACTGAAAGGATGTTGTTTAACCCTTGACCTCCCCATCAGATGGTGCTGTGTCCATGGGAATAGTTCTGCTGTGTGAAGCTGCTACTTCTGACATGGACATTGGGAAGAGGAGGAGTATGTACACATTATTAAATGTTGTTTATCACGTTTGGTTTGACTAAATAGAATGCCTGATTACATTTTTTTTATCCTGCTTGGAAACATTTTGAGACGAGAGCTCTCTGACGACAGAGGACAAATAAAGTTGCGTTTAAAAATAAAAAATAAAATAAAACAACTAGTGCAGGTTCTGATCTGATTACAATTTAGTTCGTTATAAAACACCAAATGTTGTCTACGGCCAGCAGACTTTAATACATCTTCACTTCCATCCTGTGCAGCCTGGAGGTCACTGTGGGAAGAAAAGACTTGATTTGAACAGCAAGAAAACCTCCAGCAGAACCAGGCTCAGGACTAGTGGTCATCTGCCTCAACTAGCTGGGGTTAGAGAGGACAGGACAGAGACTGACAAACACAGAATGACTGGTTCATGTGTAGTTTCTAAGGTCCAGGTGTGGTTTATATGGTCCAGGTGTAGTTCCTATGATCCAGGTGTAATTTCTGTGGTCCAGGTGTAGTTCCTATGGTTCAGGTGTAGTTTCTATAGTCCAGGTGTAGTTCCTGTGGTTTAGGTGTAGTTCCTATGGACCATGTGGGGTTTCTATGGTCCAGGTGTAGTTCCTGTGGTTGCTATGGTCCAGGTGTAGTTCCTGTGGTTCCTATGGTTCAGGTCTAGTTTCTGTGGTTCCTATGGTCCAGGTGTAGTTTCTGTGGTTCCTATGGTCCAAGTGTAGTTCCTGTGGTTGATATGGTCCAGGTGTAGTTCCTGTGATTCCTATGGTTCAGGTGTAGTTCCTGTGGTTTCTATGGTCCAGATGTAGTTCATGTGGTTTATATGATCCTGGTGTAGATCACGTGTTTCCTATGGTCCAGGTGTAGTTTCTGTGGTTCCTATGGTCCAGGTGTAGTTCCTGTGATTCCTGTGGTCCAGGTGTAGTTCCTATGGTCCAGGTGTAGTTCCTATGGTCCATGTGTAATTCATATGGTCCAGGTGTAGTTCCTATGGTCCAAGTGTAGTTCCTATGGCCCAAGTGTAGTTCCTATGGACCATGTGGGGTTTCTAAGGTCCAGGTGTAGTTCCTGTGGTTCCTATAGCCCAGATGTAGTTCCTGTGATTCCTATGGTTCAGGTGTAGTTCCTGTGGTTCCTATGGTCCAGGTGTAGTTCCTGTGGTTCCTATGGTCCAGATGTAGATCCTGTGGTTCCTATGGTCCAGGTGTGGTTCTTGTGGTCCAGGTGTAGTTTCTTTGGTTCCTATGGTCCAGGTGTAGTTTCTGTGGTTCCTATGGTCCAGATGTAGATCCTGTGGTTCCTATGGTCCAGGTGTGGTTCTTGTGGTCCAGGTGTAGTTTCTTTGGTTCCTATGGTCCAGGTGTAGTTTCTGTGGTTCCTATGGTCCCTGTCTAGTTTCTGTGGTTCCTATGGTCCCAGTGTAGTTCCTGTGGTCCATCCAAGTATTCAGCTCTTCCCCTGGACTTCCTCTGAGCAGACCAACTCTTATGAACCAACTGGTCTAGGTCTGGACTCGTGTTGTCTAACTTTACGTTCACACAACTCAGTTTGCAAATTATGAAAAATGACAATTTCCTCATTTAAATGTCACGAATGATCAGATTCAACAACATGTACGGTTTTCATTAAAGTGTGTGTGTGCGTGTGTGTGCGTGTGTTAGTTATGTGTATAGCAGGTATCTCTCTGGTGATGCTGTTCTTCAGCTGGCTGCTGTCCATTTTCAGAGCCAAGTACCATGGGTACCCATACAGGTAGAGTCGTGCAGTCAGTGTAACACGTCTGATTGGATCATTGTTGTTTTTAATACTTTGTGTTTCTGTTGCAGCTTCCTGATCAGTTAATGCCTGCAGTCCAACTGATCCCAGCATCATCAGCGTACCGTGCTGTTTGTTCAGCACCTTCCCATCCATGTGCTAAATTATAAATGGTGCTGCCGAGGCTTTTATCAGACCTCCTGTGTCTGGACCTTTGACTGAATGTTTGTCTGAGCTTCTGCTGGGAGTCTAAAGAAGAAGAAACATTTTCTGCAGTAAATGTTGCTTCAGCAGCACAAACCGCAGATAGATAAAAACAATGTACCACAATTAACTGTCAACATCAAAATGTGGGTGGAAAAGGTGAAACACCCACACCTGCCTCCACCCTCATTGACCCCACTCTGGGCCCCTGAGCAAGGTCCTTAACCCCCACCATCTGCTCCTAAACAGGTCTCTCTTGAAAATGAGTTCTCGTGACTCAATGAGACTACCTGGATAAATAAAGGCTAAATGAAAAAAAAAATGTGACAACGTGAAAGTGCCAAGCTATTTAACATATTTTCTTATTTTAAAGCAACCCAAAAACATTGAGATAAGAAAACTGAAGACAATCTGAATCAGTTTAGAGATGTTTTATTTGACCGGTTTCTGAGATGCAGAAACATCCACCTGCCTCCATCTTAAACTGTTTATGTTCTATGTTCAGTGGTAATGTCATCAAGATTAAACGGTATTTCTGTAAATTTATATTTTGCTACTTGCACTGCTTCAATTTGTGCCTTATTGTCAAACACAAACTCATATTTCTGTCAACGTTTTATCAATTTATAAATATATTTGGCACTTGATGTTTTCCTGTTCAGCACATTTATTTGAGCAAATAGAAAACACCAGATGAACAGATGATACCTGTGTGATGTAGTTTGAATGAAATGACAATAAATCTTTTTCCTGTGTATCTGCCGATGCTGCTGAGGCTGATAAATGTACTGGTCCACTGGGAATTCCCTGTTCAGTGACTGGCATATACAGGTCCTTCTCAAAAAATTAGCGTATTGTGATAAAGGTCATTTTTTTCCATAATGTAATGATAAAAATTAAACTTTCATATATTTCAGATTCATTGCACACCAACTGAAATATTTCAGGTCTTTAATTGTTTTAATACTGATGATTATGGCATACAGCTCATGAAAACCC